GGCTCGTGGGTGGCTAAACCAAGCATGATCAGATCCGCGTCGGCTCCACACAAGCAATGACGCGTGTTCGGGTCGTGTGTAGGCGACTGGCGTTGGCGACGAATGAAATCCATAATTTTGTGTTCACCTTCTCCTGGCGCATTCGAGTCACTAAGAATGACCTGGAGCAAAAGTGATGAAAGTAGTCGACTATAGCAACGAGTACAGAACATTAGTACTCTTTATGTATTTCCCTAGAGACAAACGGTTGCATATTTAGGCCATATAAGACACGAGATCTAGGGGCGGCGGTCATGAGAGTTTTTTGTTAGGTGGATAAGACTCCTAGAACGCGACGACGCGGGCTCACACTCAAAGGACGGAGGATTTCAAATGCCACCAAAGGTTTGCGAATTATCAGCGTTACTGAATGAGATAAGGCACTAACCTTAACTCCAGCAGAATGACAGGCACGGTTTAAAGATGGGGGTCCAAGCGGTCTGGTCAGAACTTTAACAAGATAAGCCAAATGAGTTTCAGTCTAGGCATTTTCCGACGGCTGTCAGCCAGACTCAGAGCAGCTTACGTGGGGTCACCACGTTATAGTCACCGCTTCCCTATTAGTCTCCGGTAAATGCGGTTGAACAGTGCAAAGGAATAGGTTGTGGGAAAACATATTCCTTGGAACACGAAAATCTTCACTAGCGAACTAATTTACGCCGGCCCAAAAACCAAAAAGCAAAGCATGAAAACCGAGCAAACTCAAGCAATTGTACAAGTCATTGAAAGAACAGACACCTGAAGGTTCTTCCATGCAGGATTGCTGTTAAGACGTTCGTATACGTAATAGCGCAGCGCAATTGCCAGCCTGTCCATGAAGGGCGTCCCCGGAGTAATACAGTTGGAGTCAAAGTGTTCGGATGCACTCTTCGGCGGCGGCAGACTGGCGCCCTTAGCCAGCAGTTCAGCGCGCAGACGTTCGATTGTCAGATGTTTGTCATTGGATTCCTTGGCGGCACGAAAACGTCGAGAACGCTGTTGGTTCATTTTGGCTCGCGGTGCAACACCGTCGATGGCCATGTACAAGAGGCGTCGAGGTCGAATGAGCGCAAACAAACGATCCATGTACTCGAAGATGGCAACAAACATCTCCGCTTCGTTCTTCGGTGCGGGTTTATTTTCGGGGTGGGTGCAGGGGTGAATGATTCCGTTCATATCAAGGTAGAGATTGTCAAACTCCTCGCCATTGGGGTTTGGCTCGGTGAGATCGAGTGGGGCCCGATCGCCATCATCGTTAATAATCTGGCCGTGCTTCTCCACACAGTGTTGCACGATAGACGGGTACTTCTGGCTAAGCCATCTAAAGAAGGCTGGAACTCCCATGATGTGTAAGCCAGAAACAGGGGAGCCTGAATGGAAGAGATAAAACATTGCAAGTAGCTACAGTGGCGAAATCAATCAAGGAAAGTGTGCGAGCGAATAAACGGGGAAATATTAATCTTAAATAATCACCGCGCTACAGAAGGCTGCAAATGAGGAGAAGAGTATTGTCGGTTATGTGAGTGTGACACCGAGTCTATCAAAATCTTAGAATATACGCTAGTGTGTCACCCAGAAGCATAGGCTACCGGTTAGTCCAATACTAGTTGGCACAACTGGACCAAAGACTAACTCGAGCCAACACTGACGCCGGCGTCCTCGATGAGGCTACTTTAACACGTCATCGTAAAATGTGTAGGGAAAGCTGCGAACAGTTCAGCGGTCTTCTCGTTAGCCTAATAAAAGTAGTACACGCTTTGTGTCGCAGCATCCCGCAAAGAACGCCTTCGCAGGAAGGACTCGCCACGCGGAACGACCGCGAGTCACCTGCTTACATTAACATCCCTAATAAATAGTTTCTAGTGAATATGCGAGAGAAAAGCTCACGCATGATTTGCATTAAACGAATCGCGAGTTCAGTTATCTTTCGGTTTTTACCAAACATGCAGCTGCTTAGACTAGCGGCTTAAGTAGATGCCACTTCGTAAACGCGACAGTAATGAGTGTCCAGCTGGTGCGATGTATGGTCTAAGGGCCCTATGAATCGTTCAGATACGGCATTGAATGTGCGCAGGAAAGCATCCAACACAAAGACCAAAACTACGGAATGACTAAAGGCACGTAGGCAGAATGCGTTCAGACAACACCTAAAGGATATCGGGAATTGCCAAGTTGAGATAAGTGAAGTATGCTTTGATCGTGGCTTTAGGCAAAAGAAGAAACAAAAAGAAATAAAATACTGACTTTATTTTACAGATGGACGAGATCCACCGAGGCAGAAGGGAGCAGACAACTCTGCGTGCAGAAACACCCGATCACTCGTTTTATCAATATACGGGGTCCAAGGATTCGGCAGTCCTATACCCCAGGATACCAGTAGTACCCCCCCCCCCCCCCCCCC